CCCAGTCAGCATGGCTGGCTGGGGAATTCTGGGAGTTGAAGTCCACCTATCTTAAACTAACCAAGGTTGAGAAACATTGTTTTAGGCTGAGCATAAATGACTAGTCTAAATCCATTTCAGGACTGGGCAGGGATTTTCACCACCAGTCCCTAGTTCTAGTGCATCCTGGACCTGCATCTGGGGAAAAGGAAGACAATGAAAGCAATGGCTCTGGAGTCCTATAAGGAGAGGGCCCCATCCACAATATTGACCTTTTGATTCAAGGCAGTAAAATTCATCAATTAAAATTTAATCCCAAATCAGTTACATATTTTGGGTTTCACAACATATTTTTCTTTTCTTGAGCCATTGATAGCTGCAATCACAGCAACAATTACTCCTATAAAACAGTAAGAACATGATTGCACAGGGGTCTTTGATGCATGCCCTATCCTTGGGCCTTTTACAATCTTACAAAGGCCCTGAGTACATTACACTCGGAATTCGATTGATGCCAAATGTCAGAATGCTTTGAACGTAAATACATTTATGAATGGGACAACCTAGAAGAAGCTCTGAGTAGCAAGTACAGTTAAATCTTACTTTAAGCTAAATCCACAGAATTGAATAAATCAAAAACTGTGCATTCACAAAAAATCTAAACACAAAAGAGCAATAATAGTAAATTTAAAAATGTGTGTGTGTGTGTGTGTGCTTCCTTATTGTGAAAATTAATAGCTTAAGTATTTCTATGATAACTGAGGGATGTCAGCTGTGTAGTCTACAGAGCCTCCACTGTTTTGCAACCATCCCCAGCACTCAAGTGATTTAATGAATTGGGGGTACTGAAACATTCTGCATTCGCAACAATGCAGGAGATTGATTAAAACCTTACAGAATCACCATCTTCATACACAGATATTTTTAAGTCAAGATTGAAGGCAAAAGCATTTGATACTGATTAGGATCCCTGAGTACTAAATGATCTCCTGCTAGATTTTGCTATTGATGGGCTTTTGAAAAACATATATTTTAAAAAATTAACCTTTTTTGTAATGCTAATGATTTTATCTGAATTTCCTTGGAATCAATGACTTTAAGACATATGCAATGTTTATTATGGTATATTTCATGAATAAATATCTTGATTAAGAATTTGAGTGTGGCAGGTGGGTTTATCTTTATTTCTGGCTTTGAAGCATGCTTACAAATGCCTTGAGCCCTCTTCATGATTCTCACATCAGGAAGAGAAGCAGGAAGAATACACCAGAATTTATAGAATTCTAAAGCACATGGACACCATTTGTCTTCTTTAGCCTGTAGTCATAGAAACTAAAAGTCATCACCTTTTGACATCAATATTAACTAAGCCAATAAAGTTCAGAGCTTGGAAATACACTATATATTATCACTGCTAGAGGAGGTCTTGAACAACATGGAGGCAACCTCAAATAAAAAATGTAAAGTATTTCTTGCACAACTATAAAGAACTAAATTCATCATACATATACACACATATATGTGTGTGTGTAAGTGTGTGTGTGTGTGTATAAAATTATATATAATATCTTACCAGTAGGGGTCCTTGGGCAAAGACCCCCTAATGCTTCACCTGCCTACCTCAAATATGAGAGTGACATGAACTAAGAGAGTCATGCCAGCTTGGGTGTCACCCAGATTAACAAGGTCCGCATCAGATGTTGGGGAACCAGGACAATCTGATGATAAGTGGGCTACTGAAACAAACCATACATGGATGAGACAAAAGAACTTGGAATTGATGGAATGCTACTACAACAGTAGGCCTAATGAGAGGGGACATATGAAATGTATGAAGGAACTATGGATGGACAAAAGAACTACATCCATTCTAACTGAGAAACAACTAGTTACCAAGCACTTCAACACAGTGCATTACAACCCAGACTCAAGCAGACTTGGAAGAACAACTGGATGTGCAGCCAACACCTGAAGCTGGAATGTCACTGCCACCCCCTCCATTACG